TTATGTCTTGTTATAGCCCTCAAGTTATACCGTCTTAATATAAAATATTTATCAATCATTGTTTGACTTTAGTCAGCATGATGGTCCGTTGAAAATAAGATTGTGTTGTTACTTTATTTGGAGTCGTACACAATTTGTATAAGAGTATTATTTTGAAGGTAAAATATCTTATGAGTTATAAACATTTATTACACAACAAAAATACCAACCTAAAACTTTATTAGGAAAAATCTTGTGAAAAAAATCATGTCCTATCATAACTAGACAAAAAAGTCAATATACGACTTTAGAATTCTAAATATATAATTTAAATTGTAATTCTACTATTTGGCTCATATTTTAATCAGAGTCAAAGTCGAATGATCAATACTAATCACATCTTTCACGAATTCCACAACTTTTTAATAACACATTTCAAAAATTTCTACGAAAATCTACTAAAAATCTAATTTTACACCCCCACCAAACACCCACTTAAACATTAATGAGTCTGAATAGAGCATGTTTATCCACGTTCCATAATCATAGGCCCGTCAGCGTCAAAACTTTTCTGATCTTTAAAGTTGATTAAATTTACTAATCATGTTTTGTTCTAATACGTCAATAGCCCATTAATGATACCTTAAGAGGAGAATATATGAATTATGCATGATTATTGCCAATTATGCCACTAATATAGATAGGCTCAACCCCACATTTTTGCAAAATACGATGGTTACAGTAATCGCTTTCGAGTATTATAAGGTTGTTTAAAGGCAAATTAAAGTTCGATCAAGAATTTTCAATTATTTGTTTAAATTTAAATTGTTAACAATTATGGTCAATTTCATTGCAATAAGATATAGCCCAATTTCATCAAATAAAATTGAATGAACTCAACTACCCCGCCAAAAAAAAAAAAAAAAAATTAGATCTCATAAAATTCGTTCTTTGGTAGCAAGTAATATTTGACTGAAATATTAATGTATATCTAAATTTTGGATTCTTCAACAACAATAACATATCCTTGAAGAATATTAATAGGTATAGAATTGCAATATCATTGACTATTGTGATCTATTCAAAAGAAAGTAATATCATTATATTCTTTGAGAATATTAGAATTTATAAAGTTGAGTTATTCAGAAGCAATTATACGATAATTTGTTATCATATAAACATATGCTTCTTCAAGAGCATTAAAATCATTAATCAAAGATTTAATAAATCTATATATTTAATTTAAAATTCACTATTATTTACGTAATGATTTTTCATGATGAATCGTTGGATTGTGATATTAAGTATTGGATTTAAAGAACAATGTGTTGTGAACTTATTGACCGAAATTCGGGACAATTGGATCATGGAGCTTTGAGATATCAACGTTTGATCATAGCTGACCATATTATCCACATGAGATTCTACGAATTTTCCGCATTGTTGATCTCGAATTTCCTTTTTATTTAAAATAATTTTATATAAATTTATAGTCTGCTTGCATTAATTTAAGGCCTCGTTTGAGCCACATTATTTGAAAAAAAATATATATTTTCAACACTGATTTGACATCATTTCAACTACACATTTTTTCATAAAATAATATTACATGCAAATCCAAAAAATTTTCTTATTTTTTACCACACATTTTCCATCAATATAGTATTGAAAAATGCATTTTCATTCCAATAATGTGGCTCAAACAAGGGCTAAATCAATTTCCTATCATAAAAAATTCAATGCACCATCAATACAAGACAAATAAGCAAGAAGAAATTAGATCCCATTTGATCCTCATTTTTATCAAAATGTATTTTTCTCTATCTCTTTTTTAACCACACGTTCTTCATTAAAATAATATTACACATAAATCAATTTTTTTTTAATTTTTCATTCACACATTCTCCATCAATCTACTATTACAAAATTCATTTTTTTTCCATAAAAATGATAAAAATTGATGTCAAACACCCTCTTAATCTACGCGCCTGCCTTCAAAACAATCGTGAGAATATGTGACACATGTCATGCATGGAAGATTTAATTGGTTCATACAAAAAAAGGAAAAAAAGAAAAGGGAAATGATTATTTTAGCATGTGTTTTGAGTTGGAGCAGTAAAATCGCCCATGTAAAATGAAACGTGACGGTGGTAGTAGATGCAAATCATGCAATTGAGGATTTTGATTTATGCAAAGGAACCAATAATTAATTGTTTAAATTACATATGCGCATGCAATGATCATTAAAACAAAAATGAAAAACCAAACCAATGAATTCTCTTTTCTTATCTTTTTTCTTCTTCTTCTTTCAAAAAGATATCGAATTGATAACGTGATATAGGAGAAGAAATAGATAAAATCAAAACCCAAGAGTGTGATTATATTATAACAATGGACCCATATTTATAAGGTTAAAGAAGAGTTACAATCCGAATAAAATAAATTCTTCTAAAGTAGATAAAACTTATATAATTATTTTAATAAGACTAAATAGACATTAATAATAATTATCTCATAGTTTTACAACAGATATTTATATATATTTTTTCCCAACATCTTATATATATGACTTCACTCTGGAACATTTATTACCTCTAATACCATATTAAAAAACTTAATTTACTATGTTTATTAATTATATTTATCATAAAAATATGTATATAGGTTAAGATATGAAACTCAAAAATAACTTTGTCATTGAAATTGTGCAAAAGTGAAGGGATTGAAATGTAAAGTAGGTTAGACCGGGCACGAGACACTTATATGCCATCTAGATTGCCTTGTGTTGAAAAAGTGTCATCAGGGGATGACTTATAGCTGTAGGCACAATGAAAAATAAATTTCCGAGTCAAATGCTTGGCTGTTCAAGCCCAACATAATTTATCAGTAAATACATTGGAATAATAATACAGTTTGTTTGAGATCTTATCTAATTTCCCAACACGTCTAGTCACTTAAGATTTGAGTGACCAACCTTTGTTTATGCTTCCACTAGAGAAATCAGGAAGTATAATTTGTTGAGCATGTGAGTATGAATCTTGAAAAGGTACACGGCTCTCCCATTCCAAAAAAGGCATATCTCCTTTGCCTGATAGAGCTTCATGTGCTTTTTCCCAATATTCTATGTCAACTATTAACATCAAGAGTACTTAAAACGACTCAATTTCGAATAGTGGGAAGAGTCAGACAAGTTTTAACATTACCATAGCTGGGATGATAGAAGAAGCCCAAAACTTGAATCCTAGACTGCCAATTTTCTTGGTCTTTGCATATCTATAATTTGCTGATGATTGACACCTGTCTATGCTAATGAAATTCCTATTATCTTAACCAAAAAGATATTGATTTTGGAGATTTCCTTAATCCGAGGAACCCATTAATATTTCAGTAAAAATGATCCTTATTGGTTCACTAAACTGTGTTCACGTGGCCTTGTCCAATAGAAATCTTTCTTTAATATAACTTTTTATGATTATCTTGGTGTGTGGATCGAGCTCATCAACTAACCTCAAATCAATTTTATTCTCATAAAAAGGTCTGGGATTCTTATTTCTAAAGTTAAATTAACTTGCACAGTTATACACCTAATATTAATCTGCTAAATTCTGTGTTAGTTTCAAATTAGGTTTTTATCTATCTTGCCTTAGTGCATATCCGACCTACCTTAGGTTTCAAATTATTCGACTCACCTAAACCATGCCCTCGGACAGCAATTTTGATACTCCTATTTTGCCACAGTTAAAACGTGAATCTATTCAATGATTTACACTTTAAATCTATTTACCTTAACTCGGCCTTTCCATCCTCGCTAAGAGACACACACACACACACACACAAAAGCACAAAAACAAAAACAAGAAGAAAATACTTTTAAGCCCATATCTATTTGAACATTGAAACTGAACAATAGTGTTACATATTTACAAGGAATCATGTTTCTCGTTGGTGACGGCCATGGGTACATGCTCAATGATGCTTGAGCTTGTAGGCTCTGCAAACTAAAACTCTGGAAACTACGGGTTCCTATGGTGCAACCTCACTTGGGTCAAATCTGAATTTAGTAGGAAAAGTGGTACTATTGATTAGGGACTGGATTTACGATTTTGATGCGTATTACTCGGTTACACAATACATACAAATATTATGATTTAAGATTAAAACGCATATTAATCTAGGGACTACAAATATTATAGGCCACAGCCACATAATTCCGTTTGAAAAGGCATACTAATCGAAGGACGACAATTGTATGGCTACCAGATACAAATTCCATATTGAATGAAACTGAGTAAAAATGATTTACATAATTTCATTAATTAAGAGGGTGTTTGGGAATCATTTTTATGTAAAAATGCATTTTGAAATAGTAAATTGATGGGAAATGTGTGATTGAAAAATAAAGAAAAGCTTATGATTTACGTGTAATATTATTTTAATGAAGAATGTGTGGTTGAAAAGAAGAGAGTGAAAAATGCATTTTGAAAAAAATGGGTACCAAACGCGACCTAAATTTATTATGTTAATTAATAGTCCCATATTAGCCAAGTCAAAAAGTCAGATGAGTGGCACCCTGGCAGTACGGATTGTTCGCAATTGGGTGAAGCTCGATAAAAGCGTGCAAATATTTTTCTTTTTCTATTTTCTTACAATAAAAAAATAAAGAAAAAATTATTTATTTTCAACCCTCCACCAGTATAGATGACTCTGGTTCACGTGGAAATCCCAAAAATTAGCCAAGCTTTGTTGTCCGTAGAAAAAAGTTTTGAGTGTCAGTTTAAGGTTTAAAGTTGTTAAATATGAATGACATTTCTCTTTCCCCTTATAGAAATATTAAGGAAAAGGTCAGATTCCCTACGTGTCAATAACTAATACGGTGACGGCGCTATCAATTGTCAGACTTAATTAATTTAAATATTAATTTTAAATTTACAGATTGGTCCTCGAGTTCTTCCATTTTTCAGAAAAAGGCATATTTATTCGCTTATAAAAAGGGCTTGACTTTGACGTGAAGATTAGCATCCCACAAACTCCATCTTTTATCTTTCTTTCACTAATTAATCAGTCTCAATTTGTTAACTTCATTTCAAAGCTCAAAAAAGTGAGCTTTTTTTCTTTTCATATTTCTTGAATCAGATTTGACCTAATTGCGATTAAGATCTAATTAATGGTTTGTTAATTTCTTTGTTTTTTTTCTACAGAAGAAACCCTAGAAAGTTTGATGGGGAGGGGAAAGATTGTGATCCAAAGAATCGATAACTCAACAAGTAGGCAAGTGACTTTTTCAAAGAGGAGAAATGGATTGTTGAAAAAGGCTAAGGAGCTTGCAATTCTTTGTGATGCAGAAGTTGGATTGATCATCTTCTCCAGCACTGAAAAATTGTATGAATATTCAAGCACCAGGTTAGATTAAAAAAGGCAAAATAAACATATAATTATCAGATATTGAATAAAATTTACATGATTTTTGTACTTCTTTTTTGTTTTTTCGAAATTCTAAACCTGTTTGCATGGCATTTCAAGAAGTGTTATATTTTCTTCATACATATTATGACTCAGATTTCAGATGATTAATTGCATCAGTTCAGTCTATAAAGATTGGGGAACTATACTGCAGGATCGTAGTTTAATTAATACAAATTTGCTAACACAAAACATAACCTTGTTATTCTAAAATCATGAATTTTTTTGGTATTTTTTTTTTCATTATCAGTAGTTTGGCGAGATCATGAATTAACACCATGTATGAATTCAATAAATCTCTTGTTAGTAATGATGAAGTAGTTACCTTAAACGACTTTCGTCATGAGACTGAGTGTGCACATCATACTTACAATTTCCAGGAAAAAAGGAATTAAAAGTAGCTCATATGGTCCCTATATGGTTTATATGTTTATATTCAAGTGGAGAATAAAACTTTGGACATCGACATTTTGGAGCTACAAAAATAGGTTTTAAATTGTTGACACCACATAAAAACATTCCTCCTAGAGTAGCTCCTAATATCAATAAGAGAAACTCAGTTATAACCATTTATATACATTCAATGTACTCTACGGATCGAAAAGGTGACCTCTTCTGGTTTTACTCAATGCCTATACATCATTCCAAGAAACGCAACAAGACTGATCTAAAATCTGAAGGAAAAGAATAATATTCCATGAGCGTGTTAAAAGATCTTCTTCTTAGAGAACATCCCATCATTTAGCATGCATCATAAATATAGAGGGAATAGAACTTAAATCTTTTTACATCTTGTATTAAATTATTAACTCCCAGTTAAATACATGAATAAAGTTGAACAAGCAGGGTAAAAGATAGGGATTTTTTTCCAGGAAATGAAGTGACACATGTTGATTGGCAATTTATTTATTTATTTATTTATTTTTAGTTTTTTTATATAATTGCCAATGAGAAAATACCAACTATATATGTGTATAAATCCTTGTCATCGAATCTGTTCCTGTAACAGAATTGTAAATACTTGTACCTTGATAAATGTAGCTTTAATTAGTTAATGAGCTCTTGCATTAGTCAAGTACGCTCTATATGCATTTATTACATGATTGATATAGATAATAGAATATTTATACTAGACTATATATTAAGTAAGAAAAATAAGTGATCTTGTTTATTACATTGTTAGTTCATGTCCAATAGAGTGTGACAAATATGCAGTTAGTTGGAAATGATGTAATTTGCAAGAGTAAGTGTCTTGATATTCCAAAGAAAAATTGTCCCTGATTATCTATGTGTTACTTATTAATTTTGTTTCAGTTCAAACTGCAGCTGTGAATATATTGAAATCAGGATTGATATTATGCAGCTTTCTGAACCTCCTCTTCATATCTCACTCCCATTTTTCTTTTCCCCCTCTTATTTTCATGATTTATATTTTCAATATAAAATACCAACTGTATCTGTGTATAAATCCTTGTCATTGAATCTGTTCTTGTAACAGAATTGTAAATACTTGTACCTTGATAAGTGTAGCTTTAATTAGTTAATGAGCTCTTGCATTAATCAAGTACGCTCTATATGCATTTATTACATGATTGATACAGATAATAGAATATTTATACTATACTATTAAGTAAGAAAAATAAGTGAAAAATCTTGTTTATTACATGGTCAGTTCATGTCCAATAGAGTGTGACAAATATGCAGTTAGTTGGAAATGGTGTAATTTGCAAGAGTAAGTGTCTTCAAATTGCTCGACGAAAAATCGATATTCCAAAGAAAAATTGTCCCTGATTATCTATGTGTTACTTATTAATTTTGTTTCAGTTCAAACTGCAGCTATGAATATATTGAAATCAGGATTGATATTATGCAGCTTTCTGAACCTCCTCTTCATTTCTCACTCCCATTTTTCTCTTCCGCCTCTTGTTTTCATGATTTATATTTTCATTATAAAATCAACTCCTTTTCCACCTCCTCATCCCTAGAATTAATTATCCATCTACATATACATGTCCTGGTCAATCCAATGTGCATCATTTCTTTTCTCGTAAGTGCTGCCATGTTGAGAAATTTCCTTTCATTAGGATTTGTTATAAAAAAAAAATTACTTCATTTACTAATCCCATGCATGAGTTATAAAACTTAGAAATCTCATTTTATCATGCTAATCAAAACATGAAAAAAATTAACGTGTCATCAATGTCTTGAAGATAATTTATCTCAAAGTACTTATCACATATATATCTCTTATCCCCATTAAGGTTTAGTACATTTCCATTCATTTAACTCCAATCTTCAACTGTCATTAGACCCCCAAAGTCTTGAGCATACTTAAAATGAGGCTAGCTAGATTTAGTCCTTATTTGGTTCCATTATTTCCAAAATACATTTTTTCAAAACATATTTTTAATCACATTTTTCATAAAATAATATTACATGTAATCCCAACACTTTCCCGTATCTTTTCACCACACATTCTCTGAAAAATTATTATTCCAAAATACATTTTCTCCCAAATTCACATTAAAATGGAGCCCAAGTAGGGGCTTAGTATCTCTTTCAAATTAAGAAATAAAGAAAATTAAAAAGATTCTTTCAAATTCTTGGGTATGTGTTATCCTTTCATCATTGTGACAGAATTTGAATAAATCATTATCTTTATAACATTACTTTTAACATTTTAGAGAAACAAAAGAAAGTAATCATATATCTTAGTTCGTCCCCTCTTCCACAATAAAACAAACCATTTAAACTCAGCTTTAGTAATTGGAGCACCTCTTTAATTATCTTATATTTTTTTGTACATCATTATCTTTAGTGACCGACAATGTAATTATCAAACACCTCGAGATGTTAATTTTTGTAATTGAAAAGTAAAGTAGTAGTTCACCTCCTCCTTGTTCTTTTCAGTCATTATGTTAAAATAAGGCAATTTCTCATGAAATGCCTCAGAATTCAGTATCCAGCTTGATCTGCTGTAAACTTTTCTGAAGTAGCATTTGACTCTAATTATAGTTCAATTATTCAGATGTACAGAAAAATGTGGAACTCTTGTGTCTTATTCTAGGAAATAAGTAAATATATGCATGAAAGTACTAATTAATGAAGTATTATCAACCTTGCATTTTGATATTAGAATTCTGTCTGTAAGATGCATTTCCACGATAGAAGCCCATTATGGTTTTGCTAAAAATCATAAATTTTAGTAGATTTTGATATATTTAATAAAAATTGTGGGATCTATGAAATGTGAGATTAAATTAATTATTGATTTTCACTTAAATTTTTATCAATTTTTTAGCTAAAGCCAACAGGGGTAGAGTATAAGTTAATCATACTAATTTATTTTCTCTCAAGCTCTCTTTAGAGTTAGACCATGAAATTCAAAATTGATTACTTAAACTTTAGACCATGAAACTCAAATTTTAATGCATCTATCCATATCCTATCTAGCAATTCATTTGTATTTTCTTCTTTAATTACTTTACAAAACTTGAGTACTAACCACGATTGCATCCATTTTTAGACCTAAATTATTATTTATTAAGTATGAAAAATTATATAGTTTGGAACTTTAACAAATGCAAATCCTAGGTATAAAATCTTTTGTTCCGAATACAACAATTAGTTGTAGAAAGCCTTTAGTTGTTCCAAGCCATTAGATTTCTCCAACCCTATTACAATTAAATGAGGAATATGATCTAAGATTAGCTTATAAGATGACGCGGTCGAAACACTATATCGAAAATGAAGAGGAAAGCACAATAGTAAAGTGGGACATAAAGGCATACTTCTAACATTCAAACTCAAACGTGGACATGCATAACTAATGAACACTTAATTGACTCCAAAAAACTATGCTGCCGCAAAATTTCCTAATAATATTACATATGAAAAATCATCCTATGGTTTGAAAAGTTTTAAATTCCTATGGTTTAAATTGTTACATTTGTAAGAAATCTTTGTAATAGTAACAAAGGATAAAGAAACGTATATATATTTGCTAAAGAAATTTGTGTACTAATTGCAGTACTTAAAGGAAGATGCATTTTCTTTGTTCTCAACCATCAATTTATTGAGTTTTCCCCCCCATAAACTACATGAGATCATGAATTTATTTATTATTATTATTATTATTATTATTATTATTATTATTATTATTATTATTATTATTATATTTTTTTTTTTTTGGAACTTTTTTCAGCGTGAAATCAGTCATTGAACGATACAGTAAAGCAAAAGAGCAACACCATCAGCTGCTCAATCCAGATTCTGAGGTCAAGGTAAGCGCAATAATCCATGCCTGTGTTCTATAACTTGTTTGTTCATCATGATTATAAATCCTCACGAATGATTTTTAAATTTTGATTTAGAAATTTGTAGAAGTACAAAGTTTTTATCACATTTTTCAAAATTTATGTGTCCATAATAATTTGAAATCTAATCAATTTGTGCCTGAACTTTGCTAACTGGTAACTGCGGTTACAAATTTCGTAAAGCTTTTTTTATTTTTTGTAGATCAAAATGATTTCAAAGCTTTAATAGTTAAAAAAAGTGTCTATAATATAGCTATATTAATGTGGATATCTTTTCACAGCACTCAATACTACCTGTTGAGAGTGTTTCATATCTATTTTTAGAAAGTCTCACGTGAGGTGGCATACGACACTTTAGTATGATAAATTTTAGATTCTTTATGTTCTTTAATTAGTCTGATACCATCTAATCTATCTTGCCACACAAGTTAGTAAAAGACTACTCTCGCACCAATAATTCATCGGCAAAAGAATTTGAGGTGTCAAATTTTCTCAATAGGAGCTCTCCTGACCTTACAGTTACGTACTAAATATAAAAGTTCAAAACACATCATAAAACATATTCAATATGGTATTTATTAACTTACCTCAAAATGCTAATTACAGTAAAACATCAAAGAAATTAGATCATGTTTGGCTTAGCTTAAAAGTCAAAAAAGAGAAGAAGCTTTTTTGGGTATTATCAGCTTCTTTTGTAGAAGTAAGGTCAAACGCGCTCTTAAAGTATCAAGCCCACAACATAAATTTATGAATTGTAGCTCAAGTGGTTTGGAGCTTAATCTCGCAGCTATGCTGTCAAAGTTTTCAGTTCCACATCCTGCTTGTTTAAGGGGAACGAACTATTTTTTAATGGAATTATGTTACGAATAACACAATTATTCGCAGCTTAGTGAGTTCGATCAGAGTTTCTTCACTTGTTAATCAGTTGTAGCAAGAGTGCCTTCTCCTAATTTTGTCAACATTTTGACACATCTCCTATTCTTTTAGGCTGATAACGTTTTAGACACTAAGTTTTGTAGGCACAACAAATTATAGTTGCATCAACCATAGTGGATTCAAAATATAAAATACCTATGAAGTTAACTTTCCTTTAATTTCGTGAATGATCATAAATTAAGAGCATAATTGAGAAGAAATTGTCAAGCACTCTAGCTACAAACTGATGCATGCCAAAGTGAACCACGTCGTATTTAACATAATTCCATTAGAAGGTAGTTCGTTTGTCTTGGACAAGCAGTAAATTTTGTAATACAAAATTCAAGTAACAATGAGGGAAATAGTAGTAGAAGTGCATAATACCGTTGCTAACTGCGACTCCACGAATCTTACCACAGTTTATATTTGATAAAACTGAGGTCATTCATTGTTTCAGGGAACTTAAGAAGAGAGTGACAAATGAAGATTTCTGTATTAAATAGGATTCAACACTAAACATATTTTAATTTCTTTTTTTTATTTAACACTACAATCCGTCTTATCATCCTTTCAATTATGAGGAGAATTCTTACATAACTACTAGTTTATTGCTTTTCACGTCATTTCTTTATGTTCTGGATTGATTGCAATTTTTTTATTTTAAAACACCGTTTTTCATTTTATTCAGTCATATCCTATGGGAAAGACTACATACTTTATGCTTAATTTTTGCTATTATGCTTGCTAGTTCTGGCAAAGGGAGGCAGCAATTTTAAGGCAGCAATTACATGATTTGCAAGAAAATCACCGGTAAAGTCATACTACAAATGCTTTTTAACTATTCAACTAAGCGTTGGTTGGGGGAAAAAAAGTTAAACAGTGATGAAGGCCTAAAAATGGTTTAGTCCCCATATTCCATTTTTCTGGCAACAAGTTGAAAAAGGGGCTGGTTAAAATGATCAGCTTCTGCAGTTAAAGCATTTTTGGTAGGCACAATTGGACAAAAATTGAACTTATTTTTGCTCTTTCATATTGCCCACTACTTTTCGGTTTATATTATCAAAACAGAGATTTATGCAAACATATAATTCAGTATCTATGATCTTGAATTAATTTTACGATAAATGAGGCAGGAAATTGATGGGAGAAGAACTTTATGGGTTGGGCGTTGAAGATCTACAAAAACTGGAAAACCAACTGGAGATGAGTTTGCGTGGTGTACGTATGAGAAAGGTCAGATATTCATATTGATGTCATTTGAAGTCTTATTCATTTAGTGCATGTTTGGTACTCTATATTGCAAAAAATCGGACAATAATATTAGCAATATTTCAGGTCATTTTTCGTCCTTAATACTTCCTCTGCTGTATTATTCTCTCGTACTAACATACATTTCAATGATTCAAAAAATATCTAAAGCTCATTTACTAATTCACTTTTGCTGAATGAATAGTCATCTGTCTTCACAGGAACAGGTATTAACTGATGAGATTCAAGAACTAAATCTAAAGGTATGATAAAAAACAGTATTGCATAACAAATTTTCTGAGAAAAAAGAGATGAACTTCTCTCTTACAAATGCTCCATGGATATATATTGATTCACAGGGAAATCTCATCCATCAAGAGAATGTTGATCTCTATAAGAAGGTAAAATTCATTCAACAAGAAAACATGGAATTACATAAAAAGGTATTATTATATATGTATATGGTAAAGTAGTTTGCAGAAACTTCTTCATCAGCTATCAATTTTTGCCATGCATGCCCTTAACTCTGGTGTAACTCAGGTTTATGGCACGAGGGACCCAAGTACAGCAAATGGAAATGGCTTTGTTCCATATAATAGTTTTACCGTTACTAGGGAACTGCATGGCCCCATCCAGCTTCAGCTAAGCCAGCCTACGCCTAATCTTCATACACCAGCAAGAGAATCAGAATCGAGGTATTTTTTTCATGTTGAAATTACAGTTAGTATTCAATAATAATTAAACACGAATTATATACATATAGTAGAATTCATCCCTCTTCCACAATTGTTGTTATGTTTTCTATCGTAAAGTTCTGAAAAGTTATCTCGTTAACTTTCTTTACCAATAACTGCAACTGCAAAGTATTTTTAGGGAAGGGTGATGAATTAACCATTGTCTCACATCTATATGTTGTATTTATGCAATATATCAAATTTGTCCTGAACCTATTGAACATTTCGATTGGTTAGACATGGGCTTAAAAAAAATAAAAAAATAGAGACTTCCCGAACTTCTAATTATGCTAGTTTAATAAAATATTCCAATAATTTCCCTAGACACGTCCTTTATGCGATTATTTATATAAAACTCTGATGTAAAAATTTCCATTATGTCAACTGATTTAACAGGTGAAACTCATTGATGGCTTTCCGCGAGAATGCAACTACTTGAAGGGGTGACAATACTGGTACAGAAGATGTTAACATATGGTAAAGAAGGGTATCTGTAATGAGCTTGGAGTTGAAAATTGAAATGCATTTGAATAAAATTTTCTTAAAAATTTGTACTATTATATATGTAGTCATTAATCTCATAATTAAGAAAAAAATATAGAATACAGAATTAAGGTATATTATTGAGACCGGTGGCTTATGTGGGAACCAGAAAGCTAGCTTTCTGTTTATAGTCGAACAATGATCAGCAGATTGAGACTGAATTAATTACAACAATATGTTTCTCAACTAGAGTTTAATCCACTGAACACAGGTAGGATGGATGGTATATAATTAGACAATATTAGGGAAATTAAAGAAACTTAAATATTGTTCATAATTTCCGTCCAATTATTTAGTATAGTAATGTACCCATTTGAGGTATATATCTTATGACGCCAGTGTATTTCGCTAAGCTCTGAAAGAGTAAACCTTTCAATATCACTGTATCTTTCGTTGTTGATGCGCTTCTCGCAGTGCAAGCATAGGCTTACCGTTATAAAGGAAATATTCTGTGCTAAAAATCCAAAAAAGCTAAAAACGTGACTTCAGAAAAACTCAAACATATTTAAAAAAAGGAAAAGCCTAATTAAAAGTACTTGTTAAGTTTAGCCAAACACGCATTTTAGGGCATTCTATGACAGGACAGAATAAAACCATGCAGGGATAGCAGTCTTTTGTAGCTTAACTGTTTAACATTATTTTTTGTCACGAGGAAGGATCAAAATCAGCAGCTCATAGATACATCAAAAGATTGGGAGTTGCTTTCCGTGTCCTTTAGTACAATCTACTTGTCTCTTTGGCTAACATTTTACCATCTTGAAAATCCAAGAAGAAAAAATGTTACATAAGCCACAAAGTTTGGCTATGATCGGAGAAACATTCCGTTGGCACATTTTCCCCCCACACCCATCTCTCTGCTTTTTCTTTTTCTTTTTCTGTTTCGCGCGGGTTAGTCGCTAATAATTAAAAAGGGATCAGACGATTGTGTAAAGGACAAATCTCTTGAAACAAAGTCCCAAAAATGAGTGTTTTTATTGGCGATAACTTTACAATTGGAAAATAAAAACAGAATGTCTCCAAGGGGCGCAAGCACACGAGTTACTGAAAAGAAGTGTTTAAATGTAAACTAAGAAATTTAAAGTTACATATTCTCTGTTTGAGAGTATTTAATTTCGGGTCCTTTGCTTTATGTATTTTCTTCCTTTTATACTCCCTGGATAATCTCTTCGTGATCAACCGCTTAAAAACTGCTTGATCGCTCTATAACTGCCCACTTTCCTCGTAGTGGCCAATTTGTCATGGAACTGCCTTCTCTAACTGCTGCCATTATTTTTTGTCGTTCAACCGTCTTTAATTGAATTCCTGGAATCGTGGAACGTGATAGGGCTATTCAATAACCGCTTCATTAACCGCACCTTTGGGTAACCATAACATCTTACGTTTGCTAAGATCCTAGGCGACTCGAAGGTTTGGGCGAGAACAGGG